AATGCAAAAATAGGACTCGGCCAATATGCTGCCATCTTGACCTCACGATTGGTTAATAACCCATATATAACACGCACAAAAGCGACAAGACTAATGGAACAAACAGAAAAATAACAGCTGATAATGTACACTGTTTGAGCAAAAACATAACAAATGTAAGCTTAATAATCACGATAGAAGGCACATAAATGTAACGGTTACGTTTATCTTCACTCTGATGAAAGCCCAACATAGCATCTTTGTTGTCGTTTCCTAGAGTTTGATCACGAGGCACCTTGTCTTTATCAGTAAATGTTCTTCTGTCACTCGGTCCACATTTTTTGTTCACTGATAACTCATTTTATTTCTGGTTTGATTCTAGTGAGACCTTCGCTAGATCATTTGATTCTTTGCTATTTTAAGTTCGCAGAACGACCTGTTTCGAAATATACGCTCATTGCACACGCCACCTTATAGTGTGGGTCTACCGCGAACGGTGTGTGGGTCTGTATGCTTTAGCATAAAAAAGATGACACTATTTGTTAACATATTCGACATGTCTGCGACAGAGCTGAATAACGTACACGCATGCGCTAGATTTTGCCGCGGAAACGGATTTTGAGTCGTTCGCATGAACGATTTTCTATTCTGTCGCTTCGAGGCGTCGTTTTCCTTGCCGCTTTTCTTTTACAGAACAACCTCCAAAAACTTGGTACACCTCCTAAAAATTTTGAAAAATTGATTTTCTCCTTAAAACCTCTGGAAATAGGAAAATGCCTTCGACGAAAACAGAGTTCCTCGGTTTTAAAAGTCAGCCCTATGGCTTATTTTCTGCTAATTTCGCTAAATTTTAGACCACGGACACTTGAGCCCGCGTTGTTGACCGCAACCCATTGACGTAGCATTTCATTATTCAGCTCTGCCCATATCCGCTATCTTTGAAATCGTGGAAAGAAGATTGCGCCCTTATTACGTGTCTGCGGTATTCCCCATTGCACGTGACTGAGCTTTGTGGAGAAACCCGAGGGTAAACCTATAGTCGGTCGCTCGACTAAATATCTATATATCTCTTGCAAAGTTCAAGGGTGAAATAACTGAAGAAAATGTTCTCTCTATCGTTTTCATAACTTTTTATCATTTTTCCTTTTTACTTAATCAGGCCGTGAAGCAACTTCAACAGGTCGTCAAAAATATTTTTCGAAAAGCTTAAAAAAATTCTAAGAATTTTTTTTTTATCAATTTTAATAACGTTCTGGCCTTTAACTTTGCAATTAACTGAAAGTTCATTAGACCAAGATACGTTTTGTTGATATAGAGGACACGATACAAGCAAGAGACAGCGCAGTAGATCGAGGGGTCTGGGTCGGAAGGAAAACATCGGAATCACCAGGCTCGTGTGAGAATGGCTAGAAGATTCGTAGAAATCATACTGACCGTCAAGAGAACAAGAGTTCAGAGACCATATGACCGCATTGGTTTTGTTCGTTCATGACACCAAGTATATCTTGAAGTATCAACTCCATCGCTGGCTCTCCAAAGATTAATCTTTGAACAAAATTCTCGTTGGCTCATAAGTTACAAACTGAGTTTTTTTTGTTGTTGTCACTTCGATCTATGGCCTTAGCGTGAAATCGAACGAGGAAAAAAACGAGGATGATAACACTAACCGAGACCTTGATCATGATCCCTCCGGATATCACAAAAACGGAATTCAATAATTGTTTTATTATACTTTGTTTTAAAGAAAATAACGCCAAACGCATTATCGCAGCGAACACAGTTTATTTTCGAACACTTAAAAATGTACAACTGTGTGGTAAACAAATTTTCACCGTTTTTATAAAACAATCAAGTGCAGAAAAGTAAAATGCATTTCCAAAGAAAGTGTCATCGAAGAAAACTGTCGATCTTTTTGTATTTTCCGAATCTTTACCTTCAAGTAATTTCTCAATTTCTCACTGAGTCGATGAAGCGAATCGAGAAGCCATTCTTACTTCGCTGTCCGTAAACTTGACATTGCTCCACCCGAAATCATGCATTGCGCGCGCAACCTACAAATTATTCACTAATCTGGAGGTACAGATTAGTGAATAACTCCGTAGGTTGCGCTGTTTCCCAGAATTAACTGTGGGCGTTTAGGCAATGAGATGACAGATGGTGACTACAATGTATAATAATAATAGTAATTGAACTGAGTGGAATGCAATTTGTATAGGTAATCACATGATTTCGAGTGCATAATTATGCAGAAGAGAAGCGCGTGCATCAATTGCAAAAATGATTTATTCAGACCCTGCAAGTGACATTGTGCGTTCGGTCAAAACAACCGCGTACGATCGAAACAATACGATAAAATGAAATTATCATATCTTTAAGGCGCAAATTAGTTCAAAGTCCGCCCAAACAGTTCAAGGAATTGTTCGGTGAGTTTCTTTGATTGTTGGCCAAGCAGAATGTCTGGTTTGTCACTTCCTTTGGACTGAATTAACCCTCTTCTGCACTGAATTAACTCACTGCTGCACTTAATTACCTGAAAACTGCATTTATCCATAGTTAATAGAGGGGACCCTCTATTAACTATGATTTATCTTACTCAATCAGAACTAAGTAATTTTTTCGTGTATCTTATTAGGTTTGAAATCATACGCATGATTTCAAAATTAAAAGAGCGCGTAGCACGAGTGATTTTGGATTCACAAGTGCGATTTCAGACCAAAATTGCTCGATACGAAGTTACATTACTGGTGCATATGGTTGAAAACACGAACAAATAAACGAGACAATACACAAATATAAAGAACGTTACATTACTAGCAACTTTACTTCTGTAAGATTCCTCTTCTTTGCAATGTTCTGTCAGCTACTGTGTTGGATAAATCTTATTTCTACGAGCTGAGAATTCACGTTGGAGCTACTTAAATAGGGACCTTAAGCAACCACGACGGCGACGGCAACGAGGACGTGGAAAAACAAGAGATCTTATTGGTAGAACAATAGCTCAGCACGTGCGTTTTGAAACTTTGTTCATTTCTTAGCCGTCCTATGCAAAATAACAACGTGAAATCGCCAAAATTTGCTTCGTTTGCGAACCGAAACCGCGACGACAAATTAATCTAATTTCCATTTGGAACTCAACGCTACTTCTATACGTCATGCTGAAGTTGAGCTGTGGCGCCGTATGAGTAGTAAGCTCATGCAGCCATTTTTTAAATTCTAACTAAGAGTAGAAATTCATTTTTTAATCGAAGTCTTCCTTGGCGTTGGCGCCCTGACCTCTTAAGGTTCCTAATGTAGGACTGGAAATACGGAAAGCAAATTTCTCCTACCATAATCACGCGGAGCTAAAACTATGCGCCTTTTAGAGTAGCCGTTTAAAGATTTTTAACTAACTTCGTTTAAAAAACTGCGCAGCGAGGTACATCACCGTGTTCTCTTCTAAAATGTAGTCTTTCCCACTCTTTTCTCTCCCAGTGTTTGTTCTTAGCTTGACACTGCCATATTTTCTTTGTGGGTTCCTTCGCGCCGGAAGTGTGATTTGTTGGAAAAAAATGTCGGTCAGTGTAAAACGCAGACTGCAGACCGCTGCTAAAATGCGGACTGAGGGTATAATGCAGACTGAAGACTGCAGACCTGGGGTAAAATGTAGACTCGGTTCTAAAACAACCCGCCTCCCGGAAAAACTTCAAGAGTGAGCTTGGATCGAGGCCACGAAAGTCGTCAGAGGATGATAATCATAATGGCGATTGATGTTGCGAACTTCACTTCCTCAGATGGTTTTGGCGTTGATGTGTTGTTTTTTAAAAGGTAATAAACGATTAGAAACGTAGGTATTTTAATATGCAGTTAACAGGCAGCTAAATGCATTTCCCTTGTGATGGAATAAACAATTCTGCTGAGCAACGTTGGGTAGCTTCAACATACTTGTAGCTCATTTATACTTTGTTCGGCCTTGAAAGTAGTAGGGATAGACATTCATCACACGTCGGCAATATCAATTACTTTGACAATAAAAACCTCTTCCTTGTACCTTTGATTTCACTGCGGAGTTAGGCGCGCAAATTCTTTAAATCTATGCAGATTTGTGGGTGCGAGATAGGGTACGAGCTGTCAAACGGCGTATGTCATTCTGTCGTTTCATGGGGTTTTCAACTTACAGAAGAGTGAATATTACTTTAAATAATACGTTTCTTGTCTGTATTTCGTCGATCTCCTTAACATAGACAATAACAGTGTAGGTAAACAATAAGTCATTGTGATGCAAGTAAAACTAAATTTCCCTCAAAAATGAAGCTCAACCTCCTTACCATAACATCGTCCTAGCTTTCTGACATCCTGAGTCGATTGACCTGAGTGGAGGTGTTAGTCCCAAGTGACCCTAGGTGACCCCAGGTGAGCCCACATGGCCCTAAAGTCGTAACAACCATCGTCATTCGCTCTGACGAAGGGCTAACGCTCAAAATGTCAGCTTTTTAACCCTTTAAGGTGGCCAATCTACAATCAATAACCAAATTACCTTGTTACCCCCACCGACGCAGGCACGCAGCACCAGAGTTTCTTTTGAAACTTACTCCCTTTGTTCAATCGTCATAAACAGTTGATTCTTTTTTAAATAAAGGCTGATAGTTTCGAAAGAAACTGTTTGGGGCTGCGTCGGTGGGAGTAACGAAGTAATTTGGATATATCAACAAAGTTGAAGTTGTAAATTGGCCACCGTAACGATTACAAAAGCTGACGTTTCGAGCGTTAGCCCTTCGTTATCGCTCCGACGAAGGGCTAACGCTCGAAACGTCAGCTTTTGTAATCGTTACAGAGGCCAATTTACCACTTCAACTTGACTCTTTTTTAATCGAGTCTGCATTTTAGCCCCGGTATGTAGTCTTGAGTCTGTATTTTACCGTCAGTCTGCAGTTTACCCCCCGGTCATGATAGTCTGCAACGCGCAGTCTGCGCTTTACACTTAGTATTACGGAGCGGGACCTGGTAAAAAAAGACCAGCGGCTGCTCCCCTAAGAGGCAGATGGTTGATGCAAGCATCAGTTGAACCGGCGTACGAATTTGTTGATTTCAACGTGTCTGTTATCGCGACTTGACTGATCATTGTTAGCGTTTATCGCCTTTCTTGGTCCCTAAATCCGTTAGTGAAAACGTCTAGCTAGTGATCTGTTTCTTTGAAATTATGCCACCGCAAGAAAACGAAGGAAATCCGAACGCTTCGAGTCATCCGCCTGAAGGCAGTACGGCTGATTCGTCGACCAGTCCTAACTGGGCTGCACTTAGGGTAAGGAAGCCTAAAAGTATTTAAATTTACTGTGTATGTCTTGTTTTTTTTTTCTCACTTCTGTCAAGATTGAAGCCATTTTCACCTTTTGGGCTCACACTGAATGGAGATTTTGCCAGAAGAGGCCTGCTAGACGTCGAATGAAAGTAATAAAAATAATTTACGTTCATCATTCGTAGATTTTAACTGGTTTGAAATCCTCGTCGCAAATGCGTTTGAATTTGTGTTTCTAACTTTTTCATCAAGTGTGAATTATTTAGTGTTTTTAAACAAAATGTCAGTAGTCTTAATTGGAACGAAATTTTTCACTTTAAGAGATCCTGATTTTGTTCCTTGGCACAATTACTACTTGCTTTGTGGACGGTGTGATCTTGAAGCATCGAGCTTATTTATTCCCTTTAATAGAAAATCTAGTTCGTTAATTTCCAAATTTTCTCTAGTTAATGATTTATTTATCAGTTTCACTTGATGTTGAAGTAGAACTCAGCTTTTAAACTCAATACATCCCTATCATTATGTTGCACAGAAGCGAGAATGTTTTATGGTACAACTGCAAGTATTTTATCATGTTCATTGTTTGTCACAGTTATCTTTAACAATCTAAGCTTCCTGTTGTTGAGGGAAGGCATTGTTCCAGATTCACAGTTATGGGGAGGTGTGAGGAGAAACAAATATTTTTGTAAGCTCATCCTCTTAGAAGTGTGTGGATGAGAAAATTTGACCAGGCGTTGTTTTGCGTCTTAAATTTCAAACTCATAGAATCATTGCCTAAAATGACATAAATACCTCAGGATGGCTAGAAATATAATATGCTGGTATTTGCATTGCAGCTTCTTTTCTCATCTCTTGCATTATTGTGATGTTAAAGGATTTGGAAGGGGAGTTTTAGGGTTTTAACTTTTCTTCCCTCTTCAACTTTCTTGTAATCTTCACAACAACAATATTCAACAGTTAGAATAAGTTATCAATTTTATCCAAGTTGAAACAATAATTTTAAACTATACTTTGAGAAAAATTTCACTGCAAAGTTCAATGCTAGAACATTAATAAAATACATTAACTCCTACACACTTTTTGTAAAATAATTTGACAATGTTTTGATTTTACTTCACATCATTGTCAAGTCAAAAGTGAGAAGGACAAGAGAAATTAGAGACAACATTTTTGTCCTTAGGGGTAAAATTCCTTAAGGTGAAATAAGTGTCAGGTAAAAAGTTTGGCACAGATGGAGTCAGTCTGTGTGTTCGTCAAAGGTTCATGTTCTAAATAAAAAGTATTTATTACATCAAACAGTCAAGCTTGCTGACGTACATTTCTTTGGACTTTTAAAGGCAATCAATGGATTTGTTCCTCTCTATTGTTTTTATTACATGATATATTTATTGACTTGTTAGTTTTACTTTTGACTTGTAGTGTCAAAAATATAATGTCGTCAAAATATTTCGCAACTTATTTCTTTAGATATTTTAGAAAGTTTTTATCTATTTCAGTAATGTTCTAGCTTTGAAGTTTGCCATCAGCTGTGCTTTACGAAGGAAAAGTATGACTAATGAAATGTATAATGATATTCTTACTTGCAGCGATATCTATTGGATAACAAAATTGATTCAGCATTGTGGCTTACGAGAGTATTCACAATCGTCACTTCAATTCTTTACTTGCTCCCATTTTTTAGGTAAGCATAGAGTGAGTTTTCTCAATCCTTTTTTCTCAGTCAATGTCACAAGGTTTTTGATGAAAATTGTAATAGCAGGAAAAAGTAATGTAACATTGAATACTCTGAAAGGGGGATTAAAAAATAGCTGATGCATTTTTAAATTTAGGCAGAGAATTAATTTTCATGTAAAGGTTTGTGCTAATAAAAGGTTTGTAGTTTGTGCAAATGAAATTAATTTAAGCAATGACCAGCAGTTCAAAGACCTATCTAACATTTCTTGACAATGATGGCTTATTTCATATATAGAAACAATTTTGAATTTAATTGATTAAAAAGCTTTTAATTATCTTAAATACCATGGACAATTAGTGGAGGATGGAGTGCTTATTTGAAGAGTTTCAAAGACAAAGTAAAAAGGGCTACTAATGGCCAAACTAGAAAATATTGCAGCAAGTGCTTCTGGCTGATATTCCTTAAGTTCTGGTCCCAGTTTATTCAAAAGAGTGTTTAATTTTTTTTCAAAGCTCAGAAATCTTCCTTTTTTTCTATTATAACCAAATTAAAAAAAAAAAAAAAAAAGGCCTTTTGCTGTTGTTAGATCATTTACATTTTTAAATAAGAATAATAGGATCTTTGAGGAGTGTAATTTATGCAGCTGAGTAAATAGGGTATGTGACAGCTTGACCCATTCACTCCCAGGGGAGACTAAAAAGAAATTTCTTCCTACAATATGAATGTGCTTTTAAAAATGAAAAGGTTATAAGAAGAAAGAAAACATAAATTAGGGAACATTGTTTTTGATTTGATACTAAATTCTTAAACCTTAAACTCTCAAGATCTGATTGTGAATTCTCCCCTCAAGCTGCTACACATTTCCTTGTAAATTGGTTATGAGAATTTGGTGTTCAATCATGGTAACAACTTGAACCTGATAAGTTTGAGTATTCTCATTACCTGTTTGCTGGATAGTGTATGGCTATTATAGGGAGAAGTTACATGTTGGTCACTTGTTGGAGTTGAAGGGTTAAAGCCAAAATTATGGTAAGCAATATATATGGTGATCTTAGTAGTGAAGAGCTAATGGTTAATGTCATGTAAATATTCAGGATCAGAAAGTCCATGTGTGAGCTTTGAACAAGGTTTTTTGGTGTGTTCTTGGGTCAGACAGACAATTCTCACAGTGCATGACTCCATTTAGGAGTGTGAATGTTCCCACTGTCAGGGAATTCTGACAAAAGAATAAAGGCTGATAGTTTCCAAAGAAACTATTTGGCGCTGTGTCGGTGGGGGTAACAAAATAATTTGAATATATCAACAAAGTTGAAATGGTAAATTGGCCACCATTATGGTTATAAAAGCTGATGTTTTGAGCGTTAGCCCTTCGTTGGAGCTTCGCTCGGAGGGCTAATGCTTGAAACGTCAGCTTTTAGAACTGTAACAGTGGCCAATTTACCATTTCAACTTTGTTGATATATTCAATTCTGACAAAATGTTGCTGAGGGGCTTTGTAGGCAATATAAAAGCATTTGGTCCAGAAGGAATAGCTTTGCCCAGAGGTGGTTTGTGACACAAAAACTGTTAGAAGCTCAGAGTGTACATACGCAAAGGTTCATAGAAATGGTCTTTTGATTATGTGTACTAACAGTAACATGGCTTGTTCTATTTGATTAAATCACAGTCCTATGTTCACCTATAACTGTTACAAAAGAGTGCTGATCAGTTCAGCAGCCACATCAGCCTTACGGCTTCATCAACGGCTTCCAGTATGTACAGTTGTGTTATTTCATTCATATTCAAATACGTTCTATCAATGTGTAAAGACTTCCTCAGTATTTAATTCAAAGACTTCCAAGTACACTAGAATAACACAGTCAAATTGAACTTAGAAATTCTTTGAGAGGCTTATCAAACTTTGCATGTATGTCCAAAAATACCTTATTTTCTGCGTGAACTTGGTGTTCAACTAAACTGTCTTCAGTTGTAAAAAGGATAATATGCATTGAATGTTTATAATCTAGAAGACATGATCTATTTCTAGTAGTCAATTGCAGCCGAATTTACATACATACATACATACAATACATAGTTACATACATAGGTTAATTGACCACTCCCCATAGGGGCTTTTCAGGGCCAACACCCACACATCCCACCCCAGGGGAGGACATCCATGACAGTAATCTCGTGCATGGGAAATTAACGTCTCCTACCCCTAACCCTGCAGGAGACGGGGCCTACGGTTTATTCGTCCTTATCCGTGAAGACTAGAATATATAATTTATCCATTTCTTGTTATAGAAAGGTAGCAAATTCTCCTCAGTTATTTTAAGACCATGAGTATTGGTCTGGCTGGTGCTTGAACCCTTGACCTCCCGCACAACACAATCCGGCGCACTAACCAATTGAGCTTTATTCTGTGCGCCATATATTCTGCACATGCTATTGAATTTCTCAATAGCATGTGCACCAATGTGGTGCCCTTCAAGAGTAAAGCTATGCGCAAGTAACAAAAGACATGATGCAATGTTTGAAAGATATAAGATTTATAATGGATGACTTTTTTTTTTTTCAATTTCACAGAGATTCCAATTTTCAAGAGAATTCTTTGGACTGCTGCTTACCGAAGACAGTTGCCATTATCTACTTTACAGCATCATGTTTGTTAATTCTCAAACAGTCACAAGTATCTTTTGATTTTAAAAATGAGAACTTGAAATGAAAAAAAAAGGGACTTTGTGATTGTTAATTTTAATACTGGCTATTTTGGTTTAGAAGTGAGCTTTTAGTTTAATTTTATGGTTCACCTTGGAGATACTACAGTTATCAGTTGAGTGAGCTTTGGAAATAGTGTGGTGACGAGGCTTCGACCATAGAATAACAGAGTTGTCTCAGGCAACTTTCCTCATTACTAGTGGTAACTGAATCTCAAGAGCTGTGGCGAGCTAATCTTAATGTCAAAATGTGGTTGTCAAAAACTTCTGTTGTGCCTGACTCAACTGAAAATTGTAATAAGTGATTGTGTTTTACTTTGGATAATTTCAAATCTGACTCTATAAACTCCGGCTTAAGTGTCAGGAGGACAGCAAATGAATGCAAGTATACCCTTTAGGTGGTAGAGGGGTAATGGACCCTCTTTGAACTTCTTATGCAGTCTATTATGCAAATCAACTGCCTCACTCTCAGAGTTCTATGCAGCCCTAGAGTGTGTTTATTGTTTGCTGAAATTTTTTACTTGCACAACAAGCTAAGTAGGGACTGCTTATGGTCAGCTTCCCTACAGAGGACAACTGCATTCAACCCATGTCCCTACAGTTTACATTTTCAGAACCCCCTTTTTCAAGCAATCTGCTTCTCCAGTTTTCTGTAAATTAGACATCTATTTTTAAAGCGAATGCATTTACCCTTTGGACTTTTCATTGGAAGTTTGACTGTAATTCTTAAGAGATAGACACTTCTTTTGTCCAGTTCTTGCACTGTCCATCTTTGAAAGAAATGACTTTAAATTATGACACTTTCCTTGACTACAAATTTTCTTACAAGTTATCTTGATTCCTGTTGTATTATTTGCCCTTCTTCACACTGTGTCATTTACGAAAAAGTTACTAGATGTGAGTATAAAATGTTCCAGTGTCTTGTTATTGAATTTGCTTTTCTTTGCCAACTCTCCACATAATATTATCACTTATATTTAACATAAGGTTGATCGTAACTCATGTTGATTCTGTGTAACTGTTTGCAGATCCTTGGAAGCGGTGGAATTTTTAGCATGTCTCTTATAAGGTATTATTAAATAACCAAGAAACTACAAGGGCCCTGATTAGTCAAAAACCAATAGTTTATTGCACCCATAAACCCTTAGAAAATTTCACATTAAAATATTAAACCAATACACTACACTTTGAAGTTTCTATCTTTCTTTTCTATCTTTTTATGCAATTGGTTTTTTTAAAATGCAAGTGAAGAGAATTTCCTACGTACTTCCAAACTTTTGAATTGAAGTCATCAGATAAACTGACTGTGAAAACTTGTACAATTTTGAATTTTGTCAGAATGCTAGATCAAAAAAACTGACTGTATGTTATTTTTTTTATTCATGTGAGTTTTATGGGATTCTTTCTTAAGGTCAGCTCGTAAAGCCATTGAGAAAGTGGAGCTTCACCAGCAAGGACTGATGAGGTTCATTGCTTGCACAGAGATCATGCTGATGCCAGCTGTTATTTTAATGGCACTCAGGTTTGTATACAGTTATGTTTCCCAAACTGCAAGTGAAGGTTAATTATACCTTTTTTTCTATTTAGCAGCAGTTATGATGAGTTTACTGAGCCGCAAAGCTTTTCAGCAACTGCTAAATTGCAGACTACCTATGAGGGTAATTTCACTGCTTGATTTTCATCTGCAGGTCAACTGAAATTGATTTCATTACAATTTGTTATCAAATTCCTTATGGGAAGGAAGAACCCCGTAAATTTGCCTCTCTCTCTCAATGTGTGGCTCTATAGCTGAAGCTCAGTCAATAGTTGTACTCAACTAGTGACCTGGAGGCACCAATTCAAATCTGTCAAAACCTAAATGTCTCAGCCTTCATTTCATCAATTGCCAAAATTGCAGTTTACCTCGGGGAATTATTTTTTAGCTTTATATATTCCTGTTTTTATCTTTTTATAGGTTACAGTCAGATTTTTTCTAGGGGCACCAGTAAATTTCTTTGGCACCCCAACTTGTAACCTGTCCTTAGCAGTTGCTTCTTTACCAAGGCTTCTTTTCTCTGTCTCCTAAGTTGTCATTGTTTAACAAAGTTTGACCAAACAAAAAAAAAAAAAAGAACGATTAACTCCGAAACAGAACATTCTACCCTAACCTTCCCCAGAAGAAGATTTATGGACAATTTTGATTAGCAAAATGTAATTGAAATCACTGCTGTAAATGACTTTTCAATTTCAGTGGTCAAGCAGGCATTGTTATTCCATTTGTCTATTATCGATTTGTGGGATTTAGATATGCCTCCAGGCGGAACCCATACTGTAGGTTAGTGACAAAATTTTAAATATTAAACACATTGTTTCCTTTTTTTTCTTCTTTTTGTTGGTGAAGAGCATGAGAATTAAGTTTTTACACTAATATTTAAATGTGATTTTTATTTAAGGATAATTTGAGAACAAAAGTTGCAGAGTTGTGTTGTTAAAAACATGTATTAAACACGTCGTTTCCTTTTTTTTTCTTTTTGTTGGTGAAGGGAATGGGAATAGATTTTTGTAACAATATTTCAGTGACAATTTGAGCACAAAAGTTACAGAGTTATGTTGCAGGTAACAAAGTCAAGTGATGGGACTTGCATTCTGTTGATTCTAGATTCAAGTCCTTCTCTGTCCGCCAGTAGAATTGTTTCTCAATAATCTTGAGTTCAGCTTCATGCTTCAACCCACAACACCTTGAAATCAATACATGCATGAATTATTCTCTTTATTGCACTCTAATATACATTACCTAAGGCCCTGACAAGAAGAATTTGTTTAACAATCTAGAGCATCTTTAGTCTGTGATGAGGGGAGCAGGGTTGGCGTAGTGGTGAGAGCGCTCGCCTTCCACCAATGTGTCCCAGGTTTGATTCCTGGACCCTGCATCATAAGTGGATTGAGTTTGTTGGTTCTCTACTCTACTCCGAGAGGTTTTTCTCCGGGTACTCCAGTTTTCCCCTCTCCTCAAAAACCATCATCATTTGAATTTACACACGACCCCACAAGCTGTTCAGCTTTAAACATTACCTTGTCTAAATAAAGGTGTTATTATTATTATCATTTCCTTTATTCTCCTGACCTCACGGTTTGATTCAGGGGTGATTATTTAAGGAGAAATTAGATGCCGTGTGTTCTTAGAGGTCAAAGGATTCATAGAGCCAACTGTTTTGCCTCTTTCTAGTTGAGTTTCTTTTAATCTTGTTGAGTTTATTTGGATGTTGTTTGCATGGGATGCCTGTAGCTTACAAGTGCATTCCCCCACTATAAATACATTATTTAAATTTTTTTTTTTTCAACATGACTAACCGCAAAGTAGATAGTGCTGCCTTCTTTACATGCAAAGTAGAATGTTAGAACAAACCTTTATCAAACTTGAAAAATGTTTTGTGATGTCTGGTGAAGGGTAAGTGATGCAAAATCTTTCTCCTATTGAATAGGTTTATCTGTGTAGTTTTATCAAAGCTGCAGAAAGCATCCTTTGCTGTTGAAATTTATTTCAAACTGACTGGTTATTTCTCTCATTTCTTTTAGACTTCTCTTTGGTGAGCTTCGACGATCAGTTGAGCAGCTTGCAGGTCATCCCCGCTGCCCAGCATTCTTGCGGACATTTGTGTTCAAGTTCACTGCCTTCATTGAAAAACTAGCTCCTCCAATGGCACCACCACCTCCTCAAACTGCTTCATCTTGAGGGATAACGTACTATTTAATTTGCCTCTCCTAACTTCAGCCTTGCATATTAAAGTAGTTAATAGCAGATTTCAACTAGTGAAAGACAGAGATAAAGTCATTGCTTAAAAAAAAAAAAAAGAGTAATCTGCCTGTGTAGTGTTGGTTCTTATCTTGACGATTACTCTTCACTGATGTATGCCATACATTAGAGAAACAAAGAGCTTGTCTAATTAGTAATTCTGTGGAAAATTCTTTAAAGTTTTCACAATCTTAGCAAGGGAGCACTTCCATTTTATTATACACCTTTAGAGGACAGCTGATATTTGTTTCAATAGTTGCTGTTTTGTAAAAAGATATTAAGTTAAACTTGTTCAATTTTTTTTTTAAAATTGACATAATCAGGCTGTATTATTTTATGAAGTATTTCAAAAAATAAAACATTTTTGAGTACACACCATGGATACTTTTTTGTATTGTACATACAGCATGTTGGTTTTGTGAATTCAAAGTACAATGTTTCTGGTTGACTTTACTTGATTGGGTCATACATCAAAGACAGAAAAAGACAACATTATAGTTCTGGGGTCTTTTTCTTTGCTGGGTTTGTGCCACTGGTCTCTCTCTCTCTCTACCCAGTTATAGTCTATTTTTTCAACTGTCTCAGTCACATTTAGGCATACATAATTTTGGTGATCCCAAGATAGTCACTTTCTGTTTACGCATCTACTTTATGAAGCTTTTAAAGGTCAGCCAAAAATGACATGACAAATTTGTTATAAATAACGCTGAATGAAAAACAATTTACTTCTCACCTACTGTACAAACATTGTGGTACCTTTGTTAACCTTCTTTACTTACCAAAACTTTTTCCTCTGGTAAGTTTAAATGGTTACTTGTCATCTTACAAAGCATTAAAATGGGCTGTGAGTGACTGATTTTTAACAAGTAATTGACTGAAAAACCTAGTTTTAGCTTGAGAAAGAGAGCATTCAAGGGAGCCCAGTTGAATTCTATCCACTTTCGCTGACACCCTCCTCACAATTGCCTCATCATTACCACCACATCCTTGTGTCCCAAATTTAACGAAATGCCCCAGCATTTCAATGTTTGACCTGAGAACAGTTTCATCTGACTATCACATCAGTATGTCATACAAGCAAGTTCTAGATTTTTCAGAATCATTTCACTGGTTGTTAGACTTACATCATAAACCTTTCCACTCCCAAGATTACACCTGTATTTACCAAATCAAACACGTCTTAATTAAGCCTACAAAATAATGGAGATCCTGGACTTCGAAAACTATAGATGCCCACAGTTACAGTTTGAATTCTCAGGAAATCGCAGGAATAAGTAACAATAACAATACCTTTGCGCTTCTTGAAATGAAGTGATATTTAAGCAGCCAGAAATACCATAATATGATGAAACAGTTAAAAGCACACATAACAGTTTTCCACAATTTCCTGATTAATTTCCACCCGTCTTCTAAATGTGGTCCTTTCTCCTACCTGAGAGGGTGGGGGTGGGGGCATGGGCTAATTTCTCCAACAGTGGCAGATTTACCAAGGATAGACAAAAGCAGAAGGGGTAATAATAAACTTTAAAGTTAAGGTAGCATTTACATTGTAACTGGGGGCTCAAAATAATGACCTTGAAATGTTCTAACTCATTTTTAAGATGCACAAAACTAATTGTGACAAAACCTGTTCAAGTACAAAGTTTAAATCAATGAGAGTTTGAACTATCTTATATTCTGACTTTGAAGACCACTGGTCGTAATGCCTCAGTGGCTACTCCATCATTCCTTGCAGGAACACTCCTTGGGAGAGGCTTTGCCACTGGTGCAGGGGCAGCACGTAGAGGAGGAAGAGGTGCTAATCTGGCAGGTGGAGGTGAGTAGAGTGATGCTGATGGTAGCATGTTGAGCTTACACAGCATCGGCTGCCCATCAAGTTTCCGATTATTGTATCTACCAATTGCAAATTGTGCATCTTCTTTATTCACATACACAACTTCCGCTGATCCTCTTCCAAGCATTTTACAACTGCGTAATTCACCCACTACGCCAAAGAGTTCTTCAACGTCTTGTTGAGTGACAAGCGGGTGTAAATTGGAGACATTGATCCTACAACCAGAAGTTGGTAGGTCTTGTTTAGAAGCCTCAGGGCCCCTTTGAGTCTGTCCTGCGGTACTGCTTATTCCGTGATCCAGTCTGTCTCCCAACACACTATCTCTAAATCTACCGGCTAGGTGAGGCTCGGATTTGTTTGAAGCGTAGGTGCTGTTTTCTTCAGTAGTCTGACCGTAAAGTGTATGCTCTCTTCTCTCCTTTTCCCTTCTAAGAGCCTTCCTCTCTCGTTCTCTCCTTTTTGCTTCGTTTTGTCTCTCTCGCTTTCTTATGGCTTGTTCCTTCTCTTTTCTTTTTGCCTCCTCATTCTTGGCTGTTATTGTAAGATACCCTGCAATGATGTTTGCCTCTCGCTCCAAATCTTCTTTACTACGCTCTACTTTAGCAGTAATGCGGATCGAATCTCCCATAACTGTAGCTGACCTGTCTGGAGGGACATCTTGCTTCGTAGTAATTTGAATGTGGCCACTGGTCGACAGTGTCAAAGACCTATTTTTCTGAAATACATTTTGCCTTTTTTCTTTTCTCTGTTCCTCTAGCAATGCTATGGAACGAATGACTGGTTGAGTCCGTTTCTTCTTCGAAGAAATAGTTTGCCTCGCGTCAACAAGATTCCTTGTGTTTGTTGTAATGGTAGGATCGCGAAACCCTTGAGCTTTTTTCGCCTTTTTTTTAGAAAGAGTGGATCGCAGATCTTGTGATCTTTTAGAATTTCTCGGTCCTCCGACTTCTAAGCCTACTTTTCTTCCACTTTGCAACGCTTTACCACCTCGAATTTTCTTTTTGAACATCGCAAAAATTTTCAGTTTCACAACCACAACCAGAAGCTCCTTGTGAAATGAAATGTTTCACAGGTCAACGAGAAGCGTGCACAATATAAAGATAATTTCTATTGGCTGTTAGACATCAGCCAATAAAACACTTCTTAAGAAAATAGCCTAACCTGAGCCTTTAAGTAAATCTGGGTAGCGGTATTTCGCTAAACAAAACTAGTTTCATATATGCTCATATGTATGTACTTGCAGGAACCAGGAACTACCATGAGAATACTACTTGGGTATGCGGACGATGGTCGTGGGAACACCACCGTAAAATGTCCGCTTTTAACTAAACCGACAGACCAAGATGATGGGTGTACTTACAACAACTGGGCGTACGCTATCATTGCAATCGTGGCCTTTATTATTGTTGGAATCCCATTTATAGCTTTCATTTGCTGCCTGCAGAAGAAGATACGGGATAGACAAAGCATTCGACGATTGAATGAGCGATCAAGTCCCTATCCATATCAGGTATAGTTGGTTTTCAGATAAGAAACGATGAAATTTACGTCAATGACACCATGATTTGAATTTGGGGACCATTCGAATCTCATCGATCATTTTTTGTTAAGTTGTTGATCAATTTTAAATTTGAGCCGATTATGGACTACAACTGTCTTGCCAGGACTTGAAGAAAGGCACGTTTTTAGCGACTTCTCAGCACTTGTAAGAACAAGAAACTATTTATAAGAGCAAGAAACTAGTTATAAGAGCAAGAAACTATTTATAAGAGCAAGAAACTTTCCGGTCAGAAAAACTGAATGCATAATTAATGTATGGGGTTATATGGTACTCTTGCCGTTACATTAATTGAATTGTACTTAAAGACAAGTGGAATATTAAGATCAATGAGCCATGAAAGATTACCTTGAGCATGATGTTTTCTGACGAATTTTCAATCTTGGACAGGGTAGGGCCAGTGGTAAAGCAAAAACAATGAAACTAAAAACTTTTGAAAAGTGAAATAAGAAAAGTAGAAATGAACAGGTGTGTGTTAAAGTGACAAAAAAAAAATTATGACAGTGGCTGATGAAAAACTGAAATAAGCACAACACAGAATCTTAAAATAAAGTATTTGGTATAGATTTGGTTTATTCTCAATATGATTTTTTTAGTATAATATGAGCAGTCAGCCAGCCCAAACAGGCTGACCCTGTTTGATCTGACAGTCACGTCTTGTTGTTTTTTTGTTCAGCCCATCACTAGTGAAGGAAGTGCACCTCCTTCTTATGGAGCCACTGATAGTGCTGATGAGTGTGTGATCAGATGTAAGTTTTATCTTTTTTGCAATGTTATAGTTTCATGGAAACTGCTCAATTGCAAGGTAGGTGTGGTAGCACAATAAAAAGGATGTCTTTGGAAACCAGACAAATTTTATTGTCTCAAGGTGTGAGTGGCATTTTATTTTGGGAGACCAAATCTGTAGGACCAGAATCGTGACACAGGGTAATGAGTGGCATTTTCTATTGGGAGACCAAATCTGTAGGACCAGAATCGCGACACAGGGTAATATCTGGCCAGTTGTCTTAGTCAATTTATAAAGAAAATTTCTCTCAAATTGGAATTTTTAAGCCATTTCAGTCAATTTCTCAGTCCTATAGCATATCCTCAGTGTGTTTTGATAAGATTTCATAAGGAAGAGAAAATTCTGGAAAAGATTTGTCTTGACTCAGCTAATTTCACTGTGCAGCCATTTATTAACCCTTTACACCCTAAACAGCAGTATGGATATTCTTCATACTGTTCTTTTAATTAATAAATTATATATTTCCTAAGATGCTGACTTGGAGAATTTCTTTAATGTTCAAGATCTTCTTTAGTTGATGATCTTTTCTCTTTATTCTCATAACCCTAATGCGTGATTCTGGTGAGGGGCGGGACTATCGGGAGGAATTAAATACCAGTCACTCTTAGGGATCAAAGAGTGAAAGCTATTGGATTTTGATTCTACTGAAAAAAAGTTTTCAGTCGGAACTTTAATTGTCATTTTCAGCTCCAAGCCATGACTCTGTATCTACTGCTAGTCTGGTTGATAAACAGAACCAGCAGCAAGACACCACAAGTGTGGCATCTAGTCGTGCGAGCATGGTCCCGGCCTATGATGATGTTTCTTTGAATCAACGCAGTGCTGCAGCCAGTAGATCTCGCCACTCATCTAACTCAGAAAGTACAAGAGATGGCACTAAGAACTTGATAGGAGGGTCAGCCAATCTAAGAAGATCGTCACGCCTCTCATCAGACAGCCAGGATAGGTTTGTTGACCAGCCAGGACAATTTTATGAATCTGTGGATGTTGTAACAAACTTGCCACGGCACCGAGACCAACCTAAAGTTAGAAATGATAAACAGCCACCTAAAAAACCTCCCAGGCAGTTGTCCAATGAAGCTATCACTCCAGAAACTGAGGATCATGTATATTCTGAAGTCGAAGGCATTGAGTCCAGTAGTGCCTTTCAATCTCCATCGAATGAGGTCGTCTACGAAATAAGTCCTAAAGACCATGGGGCTGTTGAAGGGGGCTCACCAGTGTATGCTGTTTTAGAACCATCCCCAGAGGTTCCAGATCAGAATGAGGGTCCAGAATCTCTTGGTGAACAGAAACCAGGTTTGATGCAAGATGAAAAGGCAACTGATGACGAAGTTGTGGATGATTTTTCTTCAGATAAATATGTGACAATTCTTCCTCCCACTCCACCTGAACAAGTTAATGAACCTATAAATGAGATTTCAGACTTAGCAGCAAGTGGTTCACATGAGTTTGATCAATATTCTGTAACACCAAAAGAAGAGGAGCCAAGCCCCATGAAATCAAGATCTGTAAGTACAATAATTAATATATAAAAATTTTGTTATCAATTAGGCTGTTAATTTCATTAAGTCTGTAAATCTGGCTTACAGAAACATAGATGTCAAGATCTTTCACTTTATATACAAGCTTAGCTTGATGTATGGTAAGCCTTTTTCCTCCATACTTCAAAATGCTTCACTGCTTCTGCTCAAAAGAACTAAAATTGCATTCTCCCATAGTATTGTTACAGTAATAATATTGTAACATTTCAGGCCTGTGGTCTAGCAGTCCCTGGTGGCCCCTGGCACCCTACTTTTGCTCTTGGGTGACTCAGGAATTTTATTTTTTTCATATAAAAGTATATGCTGGACACCCTGTATTTCAAAGTTTCAGAGCAGTGGACTCCCTTCACTTTTTCTTAGAGCACAGCCTTACATTTCCTTCAATGGATTAGCAAAATCATGTTTAATGACACATCAGCACATGACATTCATAATCTAAATTTATTTAAAATCAGAGTTCATTTTCTCCATTAATCACAATGACAGTATTTTGAGGAGTTTCTTCTGGGCAAAGTCAGGGCATTACCAGCTGATAAAAGAAATGGTGTTTTTCTGATTCGAGATTCAACCTCCTCAACGGGATTAAAGGTATGAATTTAAGCCTATTTGATTTTCAGTGTTCCCTTTAGAAGAACCCCCTAAAATATCAAGGAACGACCAGGGGCCTGTTTCTTGAAGGCCTCTGCAACTTAATGGGCTCGTAAAGCTGTCTTGTTTCCATGTAAGATAGGGGTTTTAAAATTTTTGAAAATTATCCCATGAAACTATTAGCAGAAGAAACTAAATAGAATAGTTAGGGTGCCAGAATCTAGTTCTCTATACTTTAAATTTTTAATTTTAGATTTGGCTTTGGACCCATGAAGTTACCAGTGAGAGCTTTTGAGAAACAGACCCCAGGCAATTTTGATAAATTTTTAATTTTAGATTTGGCTTTGGGCCCATGAAGTTACCAGTGAGAGCTTTTGAGAAACAGGCCTCAGGCAATTTTGATAAATGAAATTCAGAAGTAAATCACAAACACTCCATCAACCTGTAAAGATATGATTAATGATGAATAGAAATCTCCATTTTGTATTTCCTTGTATTAGTGGCATATATAATTTTCCTGCATACTCAAACTGAGACTAAACTATACTCAGTGGCTAGTGCAGTACTCAACAGGTGTAATTTTTACTCTGGTTGCAGGTTTTAACTTTGTACTGTTGGAAAAGTGACTCAGATAAAGAACTTTATCACTTTAAGGTACTATTCACATCTTGAATAGCACAATGATATGCTGTAAATTAGGAATTTAAAGTAATTGTTTAAAACCACAATGATCATTAACCTACCGATCAGCATTAAAATTAGCTGACACATCACAGTTGAAGGGTTCTATCTGTGTAGAATAACATCCCTGTTTCTACTGTTCTAAATCATTACCCAGGCCCCCTCCCCCCCCTTTTAGTGTTAGCTAACAGTTCATGGAATCATGATACAGTATTTTATTTGGAGGGGAGGTGGACAGGGGAAAATAAGTTAACTTAACAAGAGCAAAAGAGATAAAGTTGAAGTAATAGGAGGTTGAAAACATCAATGTGTCAATAAATTTGACACCAATTGTAGTTATATGGCTGTGTTATTGGTTAGACTGTAACTTTAGCTTTAGCCTATGTGCAGGTCGTCATCATTTGTGCGGCAGGATTTGTGTTTCCCCGCCCATCACAAGATTTGAGATGAGGTGGGGAGAGGTTTGTGGGTGGTCTGGCATTAAACCACTGCTAGATCCCCTTCCAGACCTCTTGCCAACTCACATGATTACAGGCCTTGTACCTTCCTGTGGATAAAGAATTTGAATTGATATACTTCTAGGCGTGGACCAGAAGCCTCTCTGTCGTGCTCTGTCCTTTCATTTTCTCACCTCATACCTGTAGACCTGGATTTAAAGATAAGTACATAAACATTGTACTCATTGCAACTTTCAGATTACTTTCTCAGAAGATGGCTGTGTGTACCTTAACAAGAGTTCAAAAAGATTTTCAAACTTAGAGGAACTGTTGAAAGATCTTGGGTAGGTGTCAATCTTCACAAACTCTAATTATCTGTGTAAATTAACCCTTTATCTCCCATGAGCGATGAAGACAGAATTCTACTTGGTTGATTCAATACCAAATTCTCCAAACTAACATCATAAGAATTGTATGGCAGACAGTTAGGAGAATCACATGTACCTGGGAGTGAAAGGACTAATGTTTATTTTTTTTTCTGTAACCATACTTAAAATTTCTTCAACAATTATATCTAGTGAGATTATCATACAAAATATTTGTGGAAGAGTTATATTTGAAAGAGACTACACTCCCATTATGTCTTTCTCTGTGCATGAGTAGAAATGGGTACTGGTAAAGCATTTGGTGCAACTGAAAAAACAAAAAAGAAAAAGGACAGCCACTGGTTTGGTGCAAAATCTTAAACAGTTTCAACCCATATTTCTCCAATAACTGTTGTTGGTCTGTTGAAAGATCAATTAGTATGGTCTATTGCTGGCTAGTTATGCAACGCTTTTAAGAGGTATACCACTTTGAATGGCTTTGGATTAGGTCCTAATTGTCTTGTAATAATCATTGTATCCATGATGTCTTTTAAACTCTTTTATAATTTTGCAGCAGTAAAATAAAATTAAACACAAAATGAAACTCATGTTTATTACCCATGAATTGGAACACAGCACTCAAGGGGAAAATTGTTTTTAATAATGTCCAATATACGATGACCCTCCTTATTCTGATTGGCTGTTTTTCTATAGCTTGGTATAAATGATAGAAATAAACAGCAACATGTATATGCAGTGTCACTACAGTAGCTAGAGGAATGGAGAAATTTATCAGAAACATATTGAATTCTTGATTTTTTCTTTCTGTTTTTTTTTTTTTTAATTTTTTTTTCCAGGGAAGACAAAGATATGTTACCTTGTGTTTTAACGGAACAAGTTTTCCCTTAATACAGTTTCATGTACCTATAGTAAGATATTTATATAGGTGGTTTGCAACCAATCTCTAGAGACACAGGTAACAATAGTGAAAGGAACAAATGCTGGTGGACGAACAAAAGGAGCTAATGAGATATCTATTGTTTACGTCCACCAACATGGCGGCAATGACGTATCGTGCAAACCACCTATTTCATCAAATAACTGTAGAAATTGTTTAAAAAAGGAAACCTTAGAGACATTGTATGTCGTAAAAAGTGTTTAACAAATAGGTTTTGTCAAACTACACTCCCGCTCACTAAATAGAAGTTGAGCGTTAGGAACATTGTAAAACAACTGTACAGTACGATGGGGCTGAAGTCAAAAGCTACTTTTTTGGTAGCAGACTTACCAATTAAAAAAAAATTGGCTTTACGTGTTTCGTCGAATAAGCACCTGGGCGCTTATTTAAAATTTCAGCTAAAAGAAGAGGCGCCCAGTGGAAGAAGGTGGGCGCCTATCAAGTTAGCACAGCAATAGGAAAAAAAATTAAGAGAACAGATAATGCACAGGAACTCTGCAAGAACATGAAGATAGAAATAACTGTAAGTGACTTAACAGAAAAGAAAGTAATCTCTACTGATTCTGTTGTAGTTAAGCTTCAAAAGTTGTAAATAAAGTGACAATATGTTTATTTTTTCCTTGTATCCCTACTAATTAAGAAAGTTAGGTAGGAGGCGGGGGGGAGAAACTCTCAATTGAGTGTGCACTTGTTTGACAGTATATTGTGGCTAAGAGGTAGGGGCTTATTCGGGAGAGGGCTCTTAGAAGAACGTAGGTGTTTAATCGAGGAAGTCTGTTTCAGTGAATATGCTGAGACTTTCGCTATTCACGTATTGGTAACCATTTACAGAGCAGAACGTAAAAGATAGATTTCGACATTTTCAAATCCAACTAAACGAATTTCGGAAAGAAAAAAAATTAAACTTCAAGTTGTTTATTGAATGGTGATGTTTGCGCGACTACGGTTTCGGTCAATGTCAAGTTCAAACCGTGGGTGTTAGTGTACTTTTCGCATGCTTTTGTGTTGGTGGGATATGAATTGCATTCAGTTACTAATGATCCATAGAGTGATTTTTCGAATAAAAGGAAACAAAAGCTTAGTGAAACAGTGTCATTTGGTCAGGTTATATCTGCAAAGTGAGCGCAGAGTTTGTAATTTAGAAAAGCCATTAATTAAAACAGGTCTTTTGTCTTAGTGGCCCCGGTACAAACGATAAAGGATGTCAGTAATTCTTCTAATCGAGTGCTTTTCGATGAGTGTCGTAAAATCAAGACCAAAGAAATTGCAACGGCCAATCAGAGGAAAGAAAAATGACCTGAAGAGCCATTTTAAAGAACTCAAAGTTAAAACAAACAATTTGACCAAAACGCGGGATAGCGCGGGCAACCAAGTCTTGAATGGTGTTAGTTTTGCATCTGATTTGTCACTCCCGACTCCCTTGGGAGTCCGAGGTTTTGCCGGTCACATGACTTTTGGCTGGAATCGCCTTGTGCTCGGGTTTGCTGATGTTTTGTTTAGTTTTTTTTATCCATTGAAGAGAGTTTTGAAAAAGGGCGTTATTGTGTCTTTAGTTGGCTTAAGCGAACGGTTCGGTGAGTTAATATTTGTTTTTTTTTTTTCGTTCAGGCAGGTATTTGGAGTTTGATGCCTTCTTTGTTTGTTATTTTCAGAAAACCTTTCACTTTCACCTTCATTGACCGAGGCCGTGCGGCCAATGTATGAGCTCGAGTTTTCGGCGTTCGTTTGAGATAAATAAACACAGTACTAGGGTACCAACATGATTGGTCGAGAGAGTGGCACGAGTTTTTGGAAAAATCACAAAAAAAAAAACAATGCAATCTCGAGTTTCCTTCAACGCTCAATTGAAGATTACTCTCAACTGCCGTCTAAGCAATCCGGTTGAGTAATAATTATTAAACACTCTTAACTAAGTAGGTGTTTCTAACTCAGCGCGAATGGTTTTCACTTCTCTCTCTTGAATTTTCTGGTTTGCATTTTTTCACGCATTGTGATTGGTCAAGGAAAATCTGGGCCGCAGACTGAACTAATCAGATGTACAGGAAGCACACATTTTCCTTCGCCTGGCGTCAGATTACACGTGTTTTCTGAGTTCTCATTTGTCCACAATTACGTCGACATTAATTTTTTTTTTTTATCTTTAGGCATTGTTTATTTGCTGCTTAGTTTCTTTTTTATGACACTGGAAGAACTTCAGAAGTGGTTATGACTTTCTAAACTCGTATCATAAAAGTATCATCAATGGCCAAGGAGGTCGACGGGGTACGTCAAGTGTTTTTTTTTTTTTTTTTTTTTTTT